CGGGGCCTAGGTTTCACTTACCAAGGTGACACTTATTGGAAAAGGCCTACTATGAACATATTGAGACAAGCCTACCTGATGCTTTTGGGGAGACCAACCCTACACCATACAAAGGGATGGCATGAAACTCCAGCCTTTGAAAATATTGCTTGACTAAAAGTTAAAGAGTATTTTGGATAGCAATAGAAAGTAAGTTGTGGGAAGACAGGCATTTTATTTCTGTTTTGTTCACTGATACATCCCCAGTGCCCAGTTCAGTGCTTGGTCCTGAGGAAGAAAGCAATCAATCCTTGTTTGCTGAATGAATGGATATCAGGGAGTCCACAGGATGGTATAAAATCTATGATGCTCAATGGAAATACAAGAAGATGCAGTTTCTGTCTAACTTGTCAAAGATCTCTAAATTATTATACCTAAGAAAAGATGCTATATATTTACAATTTTTTATTCACTTTTTTAGCATGACAATTTTTGCAAAAGATGTTCCCGTGGAGCCAGGACTGAGAGTATAGCACTGATTAACACAGTAATTCTGATTAACACATGAAACAGTTCCATTTCTGATATAGCCAACACCTTGAATTCTCTCTCTCTTATTAATAAGCACATGCACACTGGAATGGAAGGATGACAGCATAAATGGAGACAACAATGGCACGACCTTTCAATGCTTTGCCTAAGTGACAATGAAAGTCATATAAGTTTCCTTGAACTACATCAATATGCACCCTGCACTGGGCAAGGTGAAGGGAACACAGAAATGATGAGGGGAAAGTCTAATATTCAGAGAAAGAGCTAACAAGGGCAGTATCATCAATAATTTCTTTGTCAATGCCAGATCATGTTACAACATAAATGGCATTGAAAACTAAAGAAGTCCTTGTGAGATGGGTCGCTATGCGTGACTAACTTATTCAGTAGGGAATTTAGGAAAACTAAATTAATTTGAATTCCTTACCGGCAGCAGGCACAGCACAGAGAAATAAAGAAGACATGACCAGAATCCTGTGTAAAGAACACTAAACATAGGAAGAGGAGTGAAAAAACATTGTATCACTTAAGTGAAAAGAGACAAATAGGCTGGATGGTGCACAGAGCTAAAGGGAATGAGAAAGTCAGTTCTGAATCCATTCACTCTGAGCCTTTGGTATACTGCCACTCTGAAATTCCAGCCACTTACGATTATAACGATGTCGTAATTTACAATATCAAAAATAATGGGAATTGTATGGCTTTTAAAACGCTACAGAGAGAAAAAAAAGTGTATCAATTCTATCCTGGGTGTTCTCAGCATGAATAAAGTTATTTCGTTGCTTTTTTGCTATCACTGAGATCCACCTCCTGGTGGATTTCTTAAAATCTCTCCTATGAATGACTTCACCCAACCTCTAAAACAATTATTTGTGGGTTTTTTTATGTGACACATAAGTGTGATCAAAGAGGGAGTAAATCACAAAATCTGATTAATACCAAAATGACAAAAATTCCAATTTTCATGCACCTGCTAGAAGAATCAAATGGTGGAGAAAAGGGAGGGTGAAAGCAGCAGGGCCTTTCTACAGGAGGCCGCAGGGAAGGTCACTATGGGTCACTGATGTACAGACACCCACAGTGAATCTGTGCCAGCAAGTCTAGACACAGCAGGAAGCGCTCTGGGCCATATGGAATAGTTGATATTGCCACAATCCGAGGAGGATCTCTGAATACCTTCTTCATCTATTTCTGTTCTCAGAAGGAGCCATACTTATGCACTTATGTCTGGTCAGACGTTTTCCCCTACAATGTTGCATTGCTTTGGCAAGGTTAAAAATTTAAGTTAGTTTTATAAAATAAAAACTTTCAACAGAAACCTAAGTCAACTCTATTTCAACATTCAAAACAATAAATGTCCCTAATTTATGTAAAAATATAGATACTGAACTTGTAGTATCACACTATAATAAGTTATAAATGATGTATGAAATGAGAAATTTGTAGCACATTGCTCAGAGAATTAAGAAACCCTATCTGCTCTCTTAATTGGTATGTGCTATAATATATACAAAAGAATATTAACATTTTTCCTAGTTTGACTAAATGACTATGATTCCTGAAAATTCCCTCTGTGAGCTCCTGAAACGTGTTCCTAGGAACTGAATTTTTTCAAAAGTAGCATGAGTTCTTTAATTTCCTTTTAAAAATGAAAAGGCTGTTCAATCCTGTTAGTCTCTGAAGAGAACTATTGGAAGTTGTGGTTGTCATTTCTTTTAGTCTCCTCATCATTACACTAGATTCCTAATCTTCTTGTTCTTTCTTAACTGTGTTGTTTCAGTCTTCAACCTCACCACCTCACTGAGCCCTGTTTCCTGAGCAACCACGGCAAAAATTGTCTATCCTGGGAGCAAAGTTCCGAAACTAACTTCAGATATCTCCCTTTAGTTCAGCCCATAATACCCTGAGCAATTCTATTCTTTACCACTAACACATTTCCTATCACACCTTTGCTCAAGGTCTGCTTACCTTGCAACTTACTTTTAGTCCTAAATCTTCCTTCTCTTTTGCTCTCCAAATGAGCAAGTGATGGAAAAATAAAAATGGCAACTGATCTTATTGCCACTTAACTTATAAGAGATCAAGGTCACAAACCCAGCCTCCCTTTTCCATCACAACATTCCATGCCCATTTCACTGCCCTCACCCTCCTTCCTCCCACATCAATACAAGTAACCTTCTTTTTCAAAGTAGATCCCTCTACTTGTGTCCTAAATCGCATCTGTCATTTACTCCAGATTATACAATTGAATCTCCAGCAAGCTTCATACTTTCAACATAGAACAGTTACTCCTACACACTTGGGCAAAGAATGAATGAATGAACAGAATGGTTAGAGACAATAATATGCCTTTCATGTGACTTAGAGTATCCTCGCATTGGGAAGGGTGAACTTAGGTTAATTCAGAGTTTCTGGGAAGGATTTTACACAGACACAGGATTTTACTTAAGCATATATTTCCTCTCAGAATATTAATCTTCTAAAAGTGCCTATTTTGGTTTTCATATGACTCAATGCTTTCTGCTTTAATGGTAGCATTATAATAATAATGTATGTTTTATATAATTGTTCCAGACCATTAGGAAAACAGGCCTGTTAAGTTTTTTCAAATATACTACCCAAAATATTCTTAGTTCAGTCGAAGTCAGGAATATTATTCCAGACAGAATGGAATCCAGACTACTGGCTACCTATAGGGTTAGTGACTAGACTATACTCATAAGCCTTCTTCTTTAAAAAAGACTGGGGGAAAATGCCTGCCCTTATTGCTTTTTTGCCCACTTGCATGAAACATGAATAAGTTTTAAGCGGGTAATTCATTAATCATACAAACTAGAACCTAAAAGATAAACCAAGAACCCATATACCTACCACAGGAAATTCACAATTTGTTCCACCTATCCTTTTATTTTGTCTTTGTTGCTTTTTTCCCTGTATTAATGTTTTAAAGCAAATCATATCCCTGATGACATTATACCTGTTTACTAGTAATTCTAAGCCTTACACAGTTATAATATCATATGCTTTACAAAGCAAAAAAAAAAAAAAATTTCCTTGGAATACATGGTTTCTTTAAGAATGCAAAACTGGGGCCTCCCCAGTGGCGCAGTGGTTGAGCGCTGGGTTGCGAAGCTGCCCGCGGCCTCTGCGGCGCCGGTTCGATCCCCGGCTGCTCCCCGGCCACTGGAGGAGGGTCCCACATGGCGCGCAGACCTCTCCTGCCGCCCGCTGCTCCCCTCAGCAGTTTACTTCGGTCCTTCTGCCTGCTCTGCTCCCCGCTCTGGCTCTGGTGAATTCTCTCACCCTCCCGCACTTCTGACTGTACCCAGTGCATGTATAAACAAAACAAACAAAACAAATAAATAAATAAATAAAGCATGCCTCTATTAAAAAAAAAAAAAATTAAAAAAAAAAAAAAAAAAGAATGCAAAACTAAATTCCATATATCATTTTTGGTCATGTTAACGTATGTTTCTTGTTTTATTTCTGCCTTTGCTGCACAAAAACACTACCTTTAAATCCTGTAGGTACAACCCATAATCAAGAAATAAAAAGTACTTACTAGTAGGTGAGGCCCTAACACACAAATTAACTCACGAAGTATTCCATGACTATAAATTAATTAAAAACAAACCTCACACACCTTTCCTAGAAAAATCTTTTCTTACCAGCAAAATATTCCATGATTATTTTGTTTGTAGAACAATATATGTGGCTCAATGTGGCTTAAAACTGTCTTAATTTATTTTAGTATGCATTATTCTCTAAGTTGGGTCATTATGTATGATTTGTGTGATACAATTTTAATTCTAAATACAAATTAAAAACTTTAAATGTAAAGGATGGTGTGCATTACAAAGTTTCAATAAGAGTAGAGAATTTTGAATAACCACCACAGTATCAACTGTAACTTTTCCCTAAACACTGAAACTTTCCATAACAGAACTGTAATAAGGAGGATACAGAGAACTGAGAGAGGGGAAAAAAAGGTGAAAACAGTATCATTTCACAGCTTGGAATATCTAATGGAAGGTTTCCAAGTATTTAATTGTCTCTTGTTATCATTTGACTCAGACTGGATAAGAATGTAATTGCTTTGAAAATTTCAAAAATATGATGAGTTAACCTTAATAAATTTTAGACTTTAGATTTACTATGTTTTTCTTGCATAATCAATACAAAATATTGCAAATAACAGACCTGCCATCAATGACATACTTTCACTTAATAAAAATTACTGTGGTTTTATAGCCCTCTTGAGATTTTTCAGAGGTCCCCACGCATCATCCTACCTTACACACATGGAAACCTCCAAAAGGCAGCTTAGAAATCCACAGATTTCTACAGGTGAGAATAATGAGGTTGAGAGAAGGAAAAAAGTGTAAAGTCATATCTTCTATAATTTGCCACTTACAAATATCTACCATTCCAACATCAAGAAATTCAGACATAGTTCCATGTGCTGTTACCTGATTGGCCGGTTCTCTTTACTGTCATAGAGAGAGAAGACGACCTCAAGCTCCTCTCCCAGGTTGGAACACATGAGGCTTTTCATCTGCACAAAGAGGTGGTGACTGCTGGCCTGCACAGGGGTATCTTTCTTCCGATGTCGATGTTCCATCTGAATGACACCCCCCACCAACAAAAACATGGTCAGTAGTGGCCCAACAGCCTACTTGACTATGATGTGGTTATGATGCCCTGTACTATGCTATTTTGCAACCATCCCACGCCGGGCAGGTTTATCTTCAGTTCTCACAGCAGAAAAGATAATTTTGGAGCCATCGGTAGATTTTTATAAGCCTTTAATGCTGAATCGGGGAACAGACCAGCTTTCTCTCTTTGTACTTATTTGGATGTCTCCTCTCTATGTAGTCATCATCATTGTTGTCATAGCCATTGTACCACCTCAGGGTGATGCCACCCTAATACCCCCGGCCCCTCCACAAGGTGCCCCTATTTTCATAGACAGATGCCCAGTGCTTCCTGGGCCCAGGTGTCCATAATTACAGGTGCAGGTGCAAGACCACAGGTGCTGATCATAGAAGCTAATGGAAGGAAGGTGTAAAAAAGCCTGATAACTTCATTTACCATACATATGTCCTGTACTATATATATGTATGTGTATACACACATACACATACGTATACACACACACACACCTACTCTATATATATATATATATATGCATATTTGGTATATAGCTGGATGTTAAATTCCAAATTTTCTTCCCATTTCTGAAATAGAAAGTATGACGTTTGCACATCATCCAGAAAACAAGCTTTGAGAATCTGTTCTTTAATTATTAATGTTAAAATGATACCAATTCCCTAAGTAGATTCAGGCAACACAAAGTTCAAAGGATTCTATTTCTCCTTTATCATCTCCTAGAGTGAGAACAAATTATTAGTCATCTTTTCAAAAATCAGACTAAATTATACCTAACCTTCATTTTGCTGATGGTAGCTGAACAATGCAGCTATGACTTTGTAGTTGTTATAATTAAAAAGTTCTTTTAAAATATACTAAATTGCAAAATTCAGGTAGCTTTCCGAAATATGCCACCACTAGACTGATGTTTCCAACGTTCTGCAGGGCCGCCAGTGAGGTATCCAAAGGTAAGAACAGCATCTGTGCCTTTTCTCATTTCTTTTCTCCATACAGCAGCCTAAGCTGCTTCACTTGAAAAGCAGGACCAGAGTGAGGAAGGAATTTAAATTAAAATTAGAGTGAGGGAGGAAATTAAATCATCCATGGTTCCAGAGGTGAGGAGAACATGGGGCAGGGGGATCAGTCACTCAGCACACACTTGGCAAGCATCTGTTATGTGTCAAGCACTAGGAACACACTGATGAGTAAAAACAGAGACAGTCTCTACCCTCTTGGAGCCAGAGGGAGTAGACATCAACAAAATTCTCACGTTAAATATATACCCGCAAGTGTGATGAATGGAGGGGAAGAACTAGATTTTCATGAAAACCTAAGATGGGGGGATTTTACTTGTGGCTGGGCAGCCAGAGAAGGCTTCCTGGGAAAGGGGCCGTTTAGCCAAGAGCTGAACAGTGAGAGCAATCATCAACCATCGAGGACAGCTGCTCCTACCTGCCGTGAAGAAGCAGGTTGTTTTCCCCCAACCCACTGCAGATTGCTTTTCTTTTTTTCCGTAAAACAGAATAAAAACACCTAGTAATGTCAAAATGATAGAAAAGTTTCTAAACACATACTCATAATTTTTCTACTTGGACCAGTTACAACAGTTCGTGAAGCAGCTAGTTCTTGGTCAAACTTTGAAAGGCACTGATTCTGGGTCAGATACAGGAGACATAAATGCAAAGGCTTCTATCTTAACAAAACAGGTGCTAAGAATATGGAATTATGGCTTTCACAATAGAGGACTCTCGTGAGGTCACCTCTTTTAGGTCACTTGACATTTAAAACAGAAAAAGCTCAGGTACTTTAACTCCACAGTAATGGAGCCATAGGCTGTGCCAAGCCCATTTCTACATTAGCCATCTATTTATGTTTCTACACAGAGTTCAGTAACTGCTGACTGACCAATCACCACGTGTAGGATAAATGAAAAAGCATCAGGCTTTTCCACCCTTCCACCATTAGCATTAATGATAGATCCCTGTGGTCCTACATGCATGCCTGATGGCGGGCACGTGGAGTAGGGTGTGGGCATGCATATGGGCACACCTGGGCTGAGACTGGGCTTTTAAGGGTGGCATCATGGGGACACCAGCAGTAGCGCAGAGGTAGCTGAGAATGAGAAAGAGCAACAGAACGAGAGAATGCCAGAGAGCCCAGAAAGAGTGAAGACTTGCTTGCTGGGGGCTGGAAGGCCTGCCAGCCTCTGCCACCCCCTCTCCCCTGCCTCCTTGTAAAAAGCCCATTAAAAGCCTGAAAAGCTACCGAGGGCTCCAGGACTCTCTTTTCCTGTCTGCTTGGATCATAGAGATCCTGCTCTGTGCCTTCTTGCTGCTACACCATGCCATCTAAATTGATAATTGCAGCACCTTAAAACCAACAGCATTTGGTCAGGCATTTATCTTTTAACTTGAATGACTCAGGAAACAAATGGTTACAAAATGCAGATAATCAAATGCATCTACAGTTACTATAGACTCACCAGGTAGACTGGGCACCTCTCCATAAAAGTGGAAAGTAACTATATGTTTTTAAAAGTAGACCTCAGCACTTTATGGTGTGTGTTGACCATATTTACCTGAAAAAGCTTCCTGCAAAGAAATATTCTCACTGTAGATAAAAGCATAAGTCTGCCTTGTTTTCTAGAAAGGTTGCTCTGTTTTGTGCTTTTCGCATCAAACATTCATAAGACTACACTTTTTTAACTCACAAGGCTTTTTCCCCAAAACTGCTAACTTATTTAATGATTTACTTCAAAGTTCAGAGTAACATAGCACAAGTTACTGTGAAGAAATGAATGAATCCTAATTGCTAGATCTGCAGGAACAGATTCAAAGATCTTATGAAAAGAACAGGCTTCAAGGAGGTATTTGGCCTTTACTTCAAACAGAACAAGATTCTGAGCATCAATTATGACATTCGCTGAAACTGAGGGAAAAGCTCCCTCTCTCATGCAAAGAATTCAATATATCTAGATCAGTGGTTCTCAACCTTGGCTGCACTTTAAAACTACCAAGAGAGCTTTTAAAAAATACTTATGCCCAGGTCCTATTCCAGAATAATTAAATTAGAATTTCTAGGGGCTGGGGTCTCAAGCAGCAGAAGCTTTAAAAGCTCCCAGGGTGATTCAAATGTGCAATGAGGGTTGAGAATTACTGACTGCGATCATATGCAGAGAGATGCATATCACAGCTGACTGAAAATGTATTATTGCGTCTTTTGTATAATTAGTGCCTTGCAGCCTTTGGTCCTTGCATGTATGCCAGTTTATGAGCCTGGCTGATTCTGCTCTTTGCATATGTGACCTGGGTCCTCACAACTGGCACACTCTGGCCTTTAAATATCCCCTCTCCTCACTTATATCCTTGCAGGTCTGAGATGGATTTGGTCTTAAGTAGGTTATGATTACTTGCTCATCTCTTGGTAACTACCACTTGTGGGACATGCTAAAAATATCTCTGAAAATATGATTAAGATAACAAAATTTAACAGGCCAGTTCACACTCATAAACTATACTTTGGTAGTTGAAATAGATAAAAACCATCTCTAAAATTATTTTCTGCTACAAAGGTACCAACCAGTCATTCTATACATGCTTCTAGTATAAGTAGACCCTGATTAGGAAAACACTTTTTCCAAAACTTTATCTAAGTAATGCAAATTTTTAATCTTCCTATAATGCATTAATTACTGAATAAATCATCTACACCAGGATTTCTCAACATCAGCACTATTAACAAGTTGGGTTGGGTATTCTCTGTTGTTGAGCTGCCCCGAGCTTTGTAGGATGCTCTGGCCAGATGCCAGCAGGCTCTCTCTCTGCCCCTGAACCATCATCATCCCCAGTTATGATAACCAAAAATTTGTTGACATTGCTAAATGTCCACAGGGGAGTGAAATCACCTCTTTCTAACATCTGCTGATTACCACTTGAGAAAAACTGGTTTATCCACTAAGGATCACAAAGCAAGCACCTAATCACCTAATGTCATCTTATAAAATGATAAATGATTCCTAAAAAGATACCAGAGAATCAAGTCAATAAAGTTCTCATTATTTATAGAACAATGAGATGTGGAATTTGGCACTAAACCAAACATTCCAACTGGACATATGTTAATACTGTGGAGTTTAGCACATTTTGCTGCAAAGTGGAGTACAATTAGGTGAGAAATATCTGCTAACAAGGCTACCAAAAGCCCAAAGGCAGTCTTTCTTCCCTAATGATGCAAAATGGACTCAGTAAGATGCAACACTGTGTTTCAAATATGACACAGAGAAGATGTAGTAAAGGAAGAGAAGCAGCAGTGATTAATTAAACACCCTGTGTTGGGGCATTTCACCTCCCTGTCATGGTCCTTTAAATCACCAAAACAAGAAGGGGTTGGTGGCAGTGCCTGCCAATGCTCCCAGATGAAGTCAATACAATGAGTCACTTTATGTTGCACAGAGAAAGGACCAGGGCTACAGAAAGCTGATCGTTGCTAATGTGAGGACATAAATAGGAACTTCAGGTCATTTTAAAGAGAACAAGTTCTTCCTAAGCTTACAATCATCTAGGTTTTTCTTGGCTATTGTATGATTTAAAAACAGTAAGCTGCAACCACTACTGACGAGCAATTAAATTTTCATGTCAAGTCACAATGTCTTATTATCCTCATCTATAAATTGAAGACTTTAGTTTAGGATTTGAGCTACAAAACACTAGAGGCCCCCTCCAATGGCAGTCATTGCTAATAAATCACAGTCCAGATGAGACCTCAGAATCTTAGCAAATAAGCATCGCCAGCAGATACCACTAACAAATAGGAAAGCTGAAAGAAATGAAATCAATTTGCCATCCCATAGATGTTAAGTGAAAAGAACAGAGTTAAAACTCAATGCATACAAAACCAAACTAGAGAAAATCAAATGTAATAAAATAAAATGACATTGTTAGTTGCTTTTCAAATATGAGACATCCTGAGTTAAATACGGGATGTGACTATGTGAGATGGAAGTCCAAGTGTTGTGTGGAATTTCCAGGAAGGCCCATTAAAAGTAATTGAATCAGCTCAGAGGAACCTTGCTCTATCCTCCTGTTGGAAAGATGTAATGGTTAGAGTTCTCACAGTTATAGTGTATTCCTAAGTATCCTTAATGATAGCAGCCAAGTACTGCACAGCATAAAGATAGGCAGTGCATTACTTCTGACACCACAAAACCACAAACAAGCCCAGAACTTCCTATTTCTGTACTTGCATATTGTGAGAGAGTATAAATTTCAATCATGCCTAAGCTCCTATTATTTGTTTCACTGAACACAATCAAATCTGATCTTAAGATTGAACAGAAAAGGTATAAATTATTCTTGCCACCTTGATTCTCTGAATAAGGATAAGAAAGAAATGAAAATTGACTGACTGCTTAAGCATTTTGCAAACATTATTTCTCAAGGGAAGGCATTTTATACATTTTTAAAATTTTGCTTTCATAAAAAACCTAAGAATTCTTCCCAATTTTACTGATGAAGAAAACTGAGGTTCTGAGAAATTAAGCCATAAGTCCAAGATGGCAGAACTGATCTTGAAGGAATTCAAAACGATAGAATTCAAATCTAGTTTTTGGATATATAGCCATATAGTATTTTCACAACACTACAGTGACCTCAGAAACAATGTCTTCTTATTAAGTGCATGGCACTGAAAATAAATCTCAAACTGAGTGAGTTTTTTTTTTTTAAGGTAAAAGACAAAAAATAGTACTGAATGAGTCCCGATGTCACATTAGAGGATGTCACTGACAAATTATACAGATTTTATGTTTATAAAAGCAAAGACGTAATGAATTAAAGAATATTCTTTAATTTGGAATATTCTCATTTTGTTCCTTCCTCCTTTCCTGCCCCTTTCCACTTGAATTTTAGTTGTATTCCTGCTAAGTGTCTGATACTCTGCTTGGCTATGTGATTCCAGAAAGGTGTGTAGCATAAAACATCACTCTCAAGAAGCGCAATGTAAAATGAAGGAAATCCTCTACAAAGGCAGAACTTATTCCAATTGACATGATGAGGTATATAATATCTGGACAGATCAGTGATTAAGGGAAAAAGTGACAGAGGTTTTAAGAACAGCTTTCTCAAACAGAAATAAGCCCTGATGGACTTACTGATGATTTTTTAGTTAATATCAAGAGAGTAGCTCAATTTTATATAATCATTAACACAAGGTATACCAAACCAGAGTTCAGGAATCTAGAATCTAAGCAAGCAATTGGATTTTAACCTACCATCTACCCAGACAAAAACTCAAGTCAATGGTGATGCTGTGATAGGCAACAGTCAACTACCTTAGGGTTATTAACAGGCTTTTGAATGGACTGGGGTCTGGAAGGGATAGCAGGAAGGACGAGACCAACAGCTGAAGACCAAGGAGAAGAAACTTAAAGTCTGTGTATATCCTAATAACAGGGGCAGGTAGAGCAATGGCTGGATATTGGTGAGCAATGGCTAGATACCATTAGTCACAGTGTTGTCCTAAAACAACAGTGATGTATGACTTGAAAACATTTGAGTAAACTAGGCAAAAGAAGAAAGATTTGCAAAAGAACTTAAAACTTGTTTGGATTTCCTTCCCAGCACCTGGATGTTGAGGGTTAGTAGAGAACATCATGTCATTCTGAGACAGTGTCTCAGTTCTGTACTTGGGTCACAGTCACCTCAACTCTCAATTCACTTTACTTGCTTCAAATTAAACCCGGAACATACTGTTCTTACGAAATCACACAAGTATGAAAAGTACCATGGAAACCAAAAATTAGCAGTGAGTCAGGGTTCCCTATACCTACCAATCGGTAGAGCTCAGTGATGCTGATGTCCTCCGGATCGACCATTGCATACTCTTTCCTCGGCACTAGGTCCAGTCCCAGTTGTCTAGAAAACAAATTGTAGACGTTTGGAAGAAAAGTCATCTCAACAAATATACTTAAAATAATTATTTTTATATTTTTTTTACTATTTTTACTGGAAATTAGACATACCTGCCATGCTTCTCTCACTTATATTTTTTAATCCTACATTACCTGTTACCACAGTAGTTAAATAGGCTGGACACTGAGTATAAGCTGAGATACAAAAGATGACAATAGTTTGCAAATCAAGGGGACATGGGCTGGCATTCTCAGTGGTTTGAGGTTTGTGGAAGTTTTTGGCAACTTACAAACCATCACTATAGAAACCCTTCCACTTTGGACTCAGGTTAAAACTAGAGCTAGACATAGTTTTATCCTAGAAATCAAGAGTTAAGAAGATTTGATCTGACACCAAAATACTTAGGTATGTCCAGAGCTACTTCATTTCAAATGTGCAACTCTGGCAACATGGACATGATAGTCACTCATTCCTGCTGAGTTCTGGGAGAAAAGGCAGAGGCAAGGAAGGCTGTGAAAGTGGTAAAATCAGGAAAGGCAGGTGAAAGAAACTGGTGCAGCACAGTTTCAGCCCAGAGTAGCAAAATGGCTTAACGTCTTCTGTCAGGATTCATTGTGGTTGACATGTGGTTTGCTGTGCTGAGAAGTAAGGCTATATCCAGCCTCAGATGGCTCCAATGTGGTAACTGACCTGTGATGTCTTACCATGGACAGAGGAAAATGAATAGAAACCTATCAGTTTCCCTCCAGTAACCTTGGCAACATACTCCTCTCCAGGGCACCCACTTCACACCACTGTTATCAATGCTGTGTAATTCTATTCCTCTTCTGAACCATCCAGGACCATCCCAAAGATTTCACCATGCCTTTGTATGCTCTGTAGATGAATGGCAAGATGCCATCTCACAACCAGATCCTCCTCAGTCACACACTCCAGGTCTCAGGCTTAATTCTCAAAGGATAATCTGTTCTGCATCCCTTCAACATCAAAACTACCTAATATGGAAGCCCATACGTCCAGTTATAGAACTACAGCTTTCTTATTTTTGTATTTAAAATTTAAAAATTTTAAATGCCCTCCCAAAAACCTCATGAAAGTTTTCATAAATAGAATTTATTAATTCAGCACCTACTACAAGCCAGAGCAATCTAGTCATCTGATCATCTCCCCTTCCTGAACCACAGCCAACTGGCCGACAGGTAGGCACATGTTCTAAGGACAAGTAATCCATGGACTGGCCAGCAGTTTATGCATGACTGGTATAAAACCCTCAGTCTAAACAGGAAAGAATAGATGTAGGTGGTCAATGAGATTCTGTCTTTGAGAATTTGAACCCTGGAAATTCAGACATTAGCCATGTGGCATAAGGAAGAAAAGCTACTTGAAGGACAGCTGCTCTGAGTCACTGCAGACAGAGTGAGTAAAGATGAACTTCAGCTGCAGAAGTGCTGGAGTAGGTGTGGGGTCCAGAGGCTTCCAGGGCCTTTCTGTCCAAGAACCTGCCAATTCCAAGCCTCTTTCTCTCATAAGGCTTTGTTCTATTTTTGTAGGCTTCCTAGAGTCCTAGCTGTGTGAAGTTTTATCTGTTTCAATTTTGTTTTGTTCATTTCTAGGTATGCCCTGAGGATAAACCTCCTACTGTTTGAGGTTTCTTAGGATAAACTTCTGAGACAGTGCTTTAAAAATAAGAAGAAATGTGACAAAAAGGGGAGGGACAAGATGCCAAGAGAGCACAAAGGATACAGGATGCCAGTAGAGAGAAAGGAAGAACAAGGTTTACATCCACTCAGCCCCTAAACTATTCTGTGACTTCAAGAAAGAGAACGGAACTGATTCTCCCTATCACATAATCTTAGCAGGAGAGTCAGAGAACAGCACAGAACTCCACTGGGAACAGAAACATTCACCATTATTTTAACTGTCTGAGACTTCCAGGGAGATTTGTTTTGATGGCCCTGTTAGCCTACTAGATAGATTATCTCCACCTTCTCTTCCTCCATAGCATCCTACATCCAGAGGGCTTTTCTTTACAACTCTTCCAGTTTGTTTTATCACTTGACATTGAAAATACTCTTAATTTATGTTCATCTAGTGATCTATATGTTGACAGACAATTTTGTAGGACAATTTGATCTAGTTTCATAAGCAAGAGAATAATCTAAATTTGCTTTCCATTTAACACTGTTCAATGATAACACCAATTTATATTTACAGAAGTAAGGTAAGTGCATAATCTATAACCTCTAAGTCATTTTTAAATAAGGGGTCAAAGAAAACAGAAGAAATCATAAAATTCATGAATTTAAGGATGACCCAAATGAATTATTTGCTTATTTTCATGCATCAATGTTTCACAAATTTGCCTCAGAACTGCCCAAAGTACAAGCATGAACTTGCATGAGTCAAAGCTGAGTCATGATTCAGTCATAATTAATTTTTTTCCTTCCTTTCCTTTCTTTTCCTTCTGTCATCACTTTTCTTCCTAAAACTGAAAAAATACCATTTTTTTCCTTCCTCTATATTTTGGATAAGCTAATTTCATCGAACTTTCTTCCTACGCCCAGCCAGTCCTTCAAATAAGGGCCAGCATAATGACTAAGAGCTAGTACAGCTCGGCGAAAAACAAGTTTTTCTCAAAATAATAAGAGACACATGAGAGGTGCGCAGCATGGGTCACATTCTAGCTCCTGCAGCTCCATCCTCATGGCACTAACCCAGGTCAGATGGCAAGACTCAGTGCACATGACTAGCAAACATTTTCTCTCAGGAAATGCTATGAGCTTAGATTCACACTGCTTGGAGCCAGAAGAGTGCCAGGATCTCCTCCAGTTCAACTTCCTCCACCACCAGGTAAAGCAACAGTCAGGAAGGACTTACATATTTGTCTTATGTCTTAAAAATGTAGTTTCTTGCACAGTATCTTGCACTTGTTTATGAAATCGGGTTACTTTACTGATTCACTGTGAAAGCATAAATGGTGGATTTTACTCAACAAAATGCCAAGCATGCTGTGAGTGAGGTGGAAGTTTAAAATGTATGAGTAGGTCGGTACCTGGAGTATATAACCCCATGGCAGGAATCAAAACTGGCTTCTAATAAAGGAACTTCTGGTAATTTAGAGGGAGCAGCAGTCTAGATTCAAATCGAGTTTTCCAGACACATTAAGAGGTAAATTTATCCGTGGTGACTTCTTAACTTTCTGTCTGCTCTACTTCTGTCTTCCTAAGATCCTTTGAAGGTCCAAGCAGCAAACAGGAACTCGGGGAGAGGAAAGGAAGGGAGATCTGGCCATCTTGAAGGACAACTTACCTTTCATAAGCCCAAGACTACACAAGTCCAGGATCACAGTCCAAGCAGGCTTTTTCTAATTTCTTACCCACATATGAACATCCACCCTTAGTACAGACTCAGCCTTGATCAGAGCTTTCAGCGATTGCACTCACTATTTAAAGTAGTTGGCTGTTATTTTAGTCACTTACAGTTTTATTTGAAAGTTAATCTTGGTCAAGAACAGCTTTTTATTGAGTTTTCGCCAAAATCTCCTCAAAGTGGCTAATATATAAACTGGCTGAATCACAGTGATCATGACAGGCCCCATCGGCGCACCTGTCCTGAGATTTGACAGAAGCTGTTCTCATTAACCTTTTCCTCTGGATGACAATGACAACCTATTACCACACTACCAAAGAGGAATACATCACAGGCAAATACACCTGCCAAACATAAAGCCCATTTGAAAACAAGGCCTATATGAGCAGAAGTCATATCTGATTAATCCTGTGAACACTTCATATTCTGTGAGCACAGGCATGCCTTCGGCCCACGCAGAGCCCCATGAGTCAACAATGCCCAGCTGCCACACAAGCCCCTGAGGATGGGGGTCTCAGCCTCATCAACGAACATCAGCATACAACCCCAAAAGGGGGAAACCGGACCAGCCCCAAACGGTATCTTTCAGTGCTGTTCCCACATACAGGTTCACCCTCTCGTGGCCAGCCTTGGGGTTCAGCCACCTGAGCTGGCTGGTACTCACTCGTTGCCCCAGTCCAGGCGGGCGGTGATGTGGCGCTTCACGTCCTTCATGCGGTCGTGGGTCAGGTGGCCCACCAGCACCTGCCGCCGCAGGTCCAGGATTTCATTCATGATGTGCCACAGGCGGTGAAAGAGATCCCCTTCATTTCTCTAGGAACGAGGAAATGTGGACATTCTGCGGTCAGTTTCCATATGGAGTGGTGGCATCACTACAGAGGAAAAGCCCACTCTGGGTTTGTCATTCTGTACAGGTTCTCCACGAGCAGACTAGCCTCAAATGCACTCACTGCTTCAGTTTCACAATGCTGCTCTCCGTCCAAGAATCCAACTTCATATCTCAGACTCCCCAACACTAACACTGTTTTCCAGTGTCTTCATGACACCCAGAGTTTAGTCTGGTCTCCCTGCTTTACTCTGCCCCCCCTTTCTACCTGATTGCTCCTTTCTTTAGCTCTACCTGACTGCCTGACTTCCACCTGCCTTGGGACATCTTCCCTGATGATTCTGGCTCACGTTCTTTTCTCCCATTTCTAAACCACAGCTGCATACAATTAAAGTCAACTCAATGGGAAGAGCAGTTTTCTAATTATTTCTTGCATTTGGATCTTACTGCTTTATTATATGAGCCATCAGAAGCTGAGGGCACAGAAGACTCTCAAATTCATTTCACTGATGAATTTTTGTTACTATTATTTGGTCAGGACTTAGACCTTAAAAAATGATTTTTTTTTTTACTTTTTTAAGGTAATAGCCTGTGAAATTCATTAAGAAATGGGGCTTAGTGGAAAGAAGACAGGTTAAACTCCTGGATTCAAATTCTGGTTTTGCCACTCACTAGTTTTATAGACTTGGCACATTAATATGTTATCTGATAAACAGGGACAATCCTATTTTCCTAGAACACAGATTTGAGAACCAAGCTTCTTAAGTCTGAATTCCAATGTTGTTCTCCACTGACAGAAAAATCTTCAGTAACTTACCAACCTCTTAGTACTTATTTTCTTATCTGGTGTCAGAGTAGAATGGATATCAAACAACCGACCTCATGAGGTAGTAGTAAGGATTATTAATGAGTTACTATACTAAGACTCTGAGAATAATGCTTGGCCCATAATAATTATAATTATTATCTGTTACTAACACTGTTACTGTTATGAACTTGATCCTAAAGAAGCCCATTACAGGGCCTCCCCGGTGGCGCAGCGGTTGAGCGCTGGGTTGGGAAGCTGCCGGCAGTCTCTGCAGCGCCGGTTCAATCCCCGGCTGCTCCCCGGCCTCGGGAGGAGGGTCCCACATGGCGCGCAGACCTCTCCTGCCGCCCGCTGCTCCCCTCAGCAGTGTACTTCAGTCCTCTGCTCCCCGCTCTGGCTCTGGTGAATTCTCTCTCCCTCCCGCGCTTCTAACTGTACCCAGTGCTTGTATGTATCAATCAATCAATCAATAAATAAATCTTTAAAAAAAAAAAAAAGAAGCCCATTACAAATATTATTCTCTACTAATACCTAATTCTATATATTACCAGAATCATTTAGGGAAAACCCTCTACAAATATTTACCATTCATCTTTCTAAACCATAAAGCTATGTTTAATTTCTATAAAAATTATTAGTAGACTACCACTATTAATAGCAATAAGGAAGTAGAGAGATAATTATTCATTTAAAGTTCTCAACAGCAATGAATTGCCAGAAATATGAAATTCTGAGTGATGGGTAAATACGCTCAGTCATAATATTTTCACTTTAAAAAGTAGTGATGTGTCTTCTGTTTTATCGATACTTGGTGTCCTGAAGCATTGTCATGCACTGTGCATATGCAGTGTCAGATGAATAAGAGGCATGCCCCATAATGCCATCCCTGATCTCTGAGATACAAGCTTGCTCTCCTCTCAACTCCTAAGCCCTCTATTGAGCAATATTCTACAACTTTTCACTTTTCATTCATCTTATACATTCCCAGCCAAGTCATTACAAAAGCACTGTAAAATAATTATCTTGACATTCATTGCTCACTGTCTGTTTTCTCCATGTAGCTCTAAGCAACCCATAGTGGCTTTGTCTGCCTTGTATGACCCCAATAGCTGGAGATGAATGAATGAATGCATGCATGAATACCTTGATTTATAGGACTTAGTTTTGGTAGACTTTGAGAGGCGTATTCTGCTTAGGTAATAAAAAAATAAGCAGGAAAGATCAGGAAAAACTTGACAAATTCAGTAGTCAGAAGAAAAGGACTACTAGAGTAAAAGAAATTACAAAAAGAAGATATTAAATAAGTCAAGTATCACACCACGGAGGAGAGAACCAGCTCCCTCACCAACTAACACTGGTGAAATCACCTTCCTGCCCTTGGGGTGATGCACTGCATGTGTACAGCAAGATGGTCTGAGACATCACCTCTTAGTCTTAAGTTTAAGAGAACACTGAGATGAGAAGGAAGGAAGCAGAATCCTTTGTAAAAATGAAAACCAACTGGTCACCTTCCCCTTTAGGGAAGAGGTGACAGGAACCCTGGAAACCCTGATGAGTAAACCCATGAAAACAGACATGGGAGCTTCCCTGGTGGCCTAGGGGTTAAGTCTCAGCACTACTACCATGAAGGGCCACTGTGATGGCCTGAGTTCGATTCCCGGCTAGGGAGCTAACCCACAGCAATGGGGTTAGACAGCAACCTCTCCTGTCTGGGCCAGTGCTCCCCTCAGCAATGTATTTCAGTAGATCTGCCAGTTCTGCTCCCCACTCTGTCTCTGGCGAATCCTCTTACCCCCCGCACTTCTGGCCTATACTGCAGTTTTTCTGTGCATAAATAATAAATCTTAAAAAAAGAAATCAGTCATGCCTGATTTGATAGCTAGTCAAAATGATTTTTTTAAAAGGATTTTAAAATTAGATAGTTATAAGAATGACTCAGAAATATGGAAAAGGCTTTTGATTTAATGTTAAGTAAAACACCAGGGTACAATATTAAACACTTGAAATATAACATCTAATAATTTTTTCAATATTTCAGAAATGTAGCAAAAAATTCATTGTATTTCAGTATTTTAGAAAATAGGTAAATTATCATTTGCCTCAAAATGAAGAGAGCATAGGTTTTGAAGCAGCAGATACAAGATTTAGACTCAGGCATTCCTCCTTAGCAGATGGATTGTCTGATAAGATTTGGGAATAAAAATTAATGGGCAGGGCCCCAGGGAGGAGAGATGTAAAATACCCAGCCAAAGGCCTGCGCAAGAAGACCCAGTAAAAGATGGTTGCTATATTTCTCTTAAACCTTTTGCATTTATAGCACTGATATTTTATTAAGTGCTATTTTAAAGAACATTATTTGGTCCTCGGCAAAGTTATTGAAAAGAACAGCTAGCATTTCTCAAGTATTTGGCACGTGCTTTGTGCTAAAGAATCTACATACATTAAGTATATCTCATATAATGCTTATAATTCTCAAGACATTATTGCTCTTATCAAACATCTTCCAGGGGAGAAGCTAATTGCCTTAAACTGTTAGAAAAGAAAATGAACAGTACCACAATACACTAAGTGTGATGAACTTGAACCAAAATATACACACAACACATTTACATCAGGAAAAGAGAAACCAAAAGGTTCAATATACCAAGTCAGTCCCATCCTCAAGGTCAAAAACCTGGTATCTCCAGGTTAAACTTCCTATTTGTTCCTAATATCACAGACTACCATTTCAGTATCCAGGAAAATTTTTAAAGAATTCCCTCTCTGTCTCCATTACTCAGGATACTAGGAGGTGAAGAGGTTACTCCCAGTGCTTACAACACACGGATTTTTCAAGCCAAGAAATATGTCCCCAAAATAGATGCTCACAACCTCAAAAGCAGGTAAAAATGGCTAGAAATAGCAGAATCAAGAGGAAATTCAACTTTGTTCCTCACAAAAAGTGACATAAAAGGAAAGTGCTGGTGCTTTAGCTGAACTAATGGATGACACACTAACATTTTATAACTCTTTTGGTGGGTATTTAGGAAGCAGTGGCTTGAAGATTTCAAATAGTTTTGTTTCCATGTTAGTGACATGCACAGTGTTAAGTAAAATAATAATTTGATCTTGTATTCTTTCCAACATAAATTTTTTTAAATCTAAAAAGGAAATCTTCATTTCCTTTGTAGTCTGTCAGATCAGGGCCCCTCTGCCCAGTTACCATTACGCTGCATTAACTCATTCCAGCAAAGCTGAGATTCTGGCATTTCATCTAACATTGCCCTCTGGGTTTCAGTAGTGAGTTCTAAAGCTACCTGTTCCAGCAAAGTAGGACCAGTGAAATACAATATGAGGGATGTTATTAGTGACCTTTTTAAGATCTTATTGCCTCAATGAAATATTCTATTGCACTTTATATGTAACAATAAAAATTTTAATTCTGTGCCAATATTCTTCATTAATTTGGATTCTATCTTTGACTGGCAGTTTCAAATCATTTTGCCAGGCTCAGTACACATTTGTATTCTGAACAAATTCCTTCAAATGTTTAAGTTGTTCTATATTTCTTTGAGGAAAGGAAGAAATAGCATTCGTCTTCCCCAAAATTTGACCACCCCCAAATTTTCACTAATACAGGGTACTAGATTTGCATCAAAATCTTAGGTCAGTCACTTTCTCACTATGTGGCCTAGATCAAAAACCTCATTCTCTGCTGCACTTCTCTCTTTGTATGTTGAGCATAATCACAGTCATTATTTCCTTGACTGGTTCTAAGGACTAAATGAGATAGAGTTATAAAGCATTTGGATATGCATTGTAGCAACCTCTAAATAAATGCAATTAGATATATTAAGTAAATAAGTATGTACATACATACCCACAAAACATTAACCCCCTACTTTTTTTCCCAAGAAACATTCCTTGCTGTTCTATGTTCAGAATATTCTCCTTGTTTCTGGCTAAATAACTTATAATTTTTAGCATATTTGAGTCATTCTAAAGAATTAAAATACAATAAAATACTATCAATGTTTAAGACTGTGTTGAATATATCTTTCTCCATGAAAATTAAACATAATCAGAAAGCATAATACTAGTTCCATGTAAACTATCCTATTTGATTACATGCCAGAAAAATCATCTTATGCATCCCTGCAGCACTGAAAAAGAACTTTATAAAAACAAATTTATAATTTTATTTATAAAACTAAATCCACACCCTGTGGACATAAGACTTAAAGGACTGAGTTGTATTTAGCTCTGTCTTCCTAATCCCCTGAGGAGTACTAGTGATTTATAGCAGGTGCTCAAATATTAGTCTATATTTAAAATTGCTCAGATATTTCATAAGACAATTCTCGATCTGAAAAATGAGGCCATTAAAAAGTTATTTACCACATAGAGTTGTTTCCACATGGTTCCCCAGTCTCTTAATGTTGACGTCATTTCTGTGATAACAGAGTCTTCAGTGGGAATAACCATTTCAAATTGTCTGTGAAATTAAAAAAGAAAAACAAAGTATTTATGGAAATATAGCCAGCCATTTTCTTTTAAATACTCTCAAAGAAATAAACTAGGAAAGGAAGACACCTAGTTTTGGTTCTGCAGATAATAACCAGGATCTGATTTGAGCCACTACGAGGAATGCAATGTGGGTTATGTGGTTATCATTAAAATGCCTGGCCACTTCATCCAGATCAAATTTGAGCAGTGCGATAGAGAAGCAACGATTTCAGAAGAATTCTTCCCTAGTCAGTTTGACCACTAAACAGCAACTCAATAAACCTCTCCAAGTCAAAAACCCTCATGTGTGGCCTGAGGCCATCAGGCTTATTTAAACTCTAGACAGTCTTCACTTTCCAAGCTCTGTGGCCATGGGGCTAAAGGGGGTGACACACTTATTCAATTATCATACAGTTATTCAATGTTTGGCCCCAAACATCCAAAGTAACTCAGTTTTACAAAGAACTAGCTACCAAGGTATTGACTAAACACTCACTTGATGTCATTAACACATTTTTATTATGTGCAAATGAGGTCATAAAAATGATTAGTACTATTATTAATGTTATTATGCATTACAGAATTATTTTAAGGGCGTAAGACATCACAGATATTTGAATATCCATGGTAAAATGTTTTTATGATAGGTATAATACATTCTTTCTATTCCTTCTTTAAAAGTCAGAAACTATACTTGGAAAATATTCATATCAAAATGTAGTAGGTAGATATGGTGAACCTAATATTGAGATAATACATAAAGACTGGAGGGGGCACCTTTATAGCCCACCGTTGACAAACAGTAACAGTTTTCTTCATTTCACTTTCTTTTTTAAAATGCTTTCAGTTTTACATGTAAGTTGAAACGATCAAGCGGCTATTTTTACTACTGTTTCTCAAAAGAATCTAATGACTATATTGATGTGGATTTCTTCCAAAGGACAACATCAAATATGTAGAAGGTAGCACATACCAGACACCAAACCAGGTTGTCTAGATGATCAAGGGAAAATACTTCTTGGCATGAGGTTAACAGCTACTCTATGGTTCCTTTTTGATGTTATGTCCAAAGTGTGTATAATTATCTTTTGTCTTCTTGATAGCAAGTATGGGAACTAAACTCTTGCCTTGATTTCTTCATCAGAGACTCATCTCTGCATTTTATACCACTGCTAAATTATCTTGCGAATATTTTTGTCTTTCTAGAGCTTATGCACAGCTGAAAATGTAAAACTAGGATTTAAAGCTAGAAATAAAGTAAATAGTAATATATGAACTGTGATATATACAGAGTGTTGTATCAAGTCTACATATGAAATTTTCGAATGGTAGTATATTTATTTCGCTTTTGAAGCAGCTGTTGCAATCTAAATGATGAATATTTGGAGAGTTTATAAAATGATCCAATGCAAGGTCAAGGAGGGAACAATGAATTTCCAGGAAAACTCAACAACCAACTTAACATTTAAAAAGTGACATGACCTCAGCAGGAATTAAATGATATAGAAATGGCTTCACTGTTCATAAACTATAATTTAATTTAAGGACCCCATTAGTCCAACATTGCACTGAAGACCCAATAAACAATAAAGGCAATTCAGTCTGTGGGGAGTTGATTTGGAGTTTGCTCACCCAAATGTAAATTTTTAAGACACAAAAAATTGCCCTTTCAGATGAAGCAGCTGTTTCCTCCTAGTAGTATTAAATCTAAAATCAACATTCAAAAAGTCTGTACTAAGTAGTCACCCTTAAATTTTTTCAGTTATTTTAAGACATCTTTTGCAGTTATTTAATTCTGGTAGGTCATCAGGCTGCTAATACTCTTAAAATAGGACCGTTAACATCAAAATCCCAAATTCCCAAAGAGAAAGCAATCACCTGGCAATATGAGTTCACAAATGTTTTCAGGCTAAAGTTTCTTGGATTTTTTTCCAGTTAATAGTTCTAAAATCTGGGCCTCAGTTACAAGCTTTATATATATATATATATATATATTATATATATAATAAATATTATATATATATATATAATAAATTTTGGTTCCACACCAACCTTCTCCTGCAGTATAATGCTCATCATATCCTATGTTGGGTAAAGAACCTACAACCAAGTTTTACACTTATACAACCAGGCACCTTCACCCAGATTTAAACTTGCTTAAACGCAGAGAAGTGGGTCAGATATTCATCAGTTACTAAACAAGACCAAAAAAAAAAAGTAACAGGAGTTATTTATGTTATTTAAAACTACATTCCCCCCAATCTGCTGTCAGAGTTAGAACTTTCACACATTGAAGACCACTTCAACGAATCATCCTTGCTAGCATCCTCTCTCCTCTCTTCCTCAGAGTGTAAGAGAGAGCTGTGTGGCTATTTGCTTTGGAGAGCTGAGGGGTCAGGGCTTGGCTTGTGTGCAACAGAGAGGATGGGCTGTGTGTGTCTGCCCAGGCAAATGCTTTTTAAGGGACAGGTGAGAGACCTTGGGGTTTTCACTTTGTCAGGAAGAGATCACCAAGGCAGAAAGGGTAGAATACATGGATGAATTGTTTTCTAAACTGTACTCTGGCTGACTTGAAGTGGGTTGTATAGTGTCAAACCTAATCTAGTGAGAGAATTCCACAAGGAATGATAACTCTGCTTAACTCACTTCTGGTAGACTAGAGCTGCATAACATTTCTGAAAGACACACATTTATTAAAGGAGCAAAAGTAGTTGTAATTATTAATTACTACTATCACCAATAATAATGCTTAGAGTAGCTGACATATACAAGACATATAGCATAAGAATCTCCTACATGTTTTAAGTTTTATCTATTTAGGGAATATTCACAGTATTTATAGCATAGAGTCTCAGCTGCTGGCACAAGGTATTTCACTTAACTACAATTTAATACACTGCCTTTACAAACAGTGGATGCAAGAATCATCCATTTGAATAACATCCTTAGAAATTCTGGTAAAATTCAAGTTTGAAGGTATCATTTACTATGTTTTAAAAAGTGCTTCAGGGCCTCCCTGGTGGCGCCCACTGTGTTAAGACACAACCTATGAAGCAATCCGAGTTCGATTCCTGGCCGGCCAGGGAGAAACCCACATGGCAGGACAGACCTCTCCTGTCTCGCCCACCACTCCCTTCAGCAGTGTACTTTGGTCCATCTGCCTGTTCTGTTCTCCGCTCTGTCTCCGGTGAATCCTCTCACACCCTGCATCTCTGGCCTGTACCCCAATTCTTGCATAAAACTAAATAAATCTTTAAAAAAATATTAAAATAAAAAGTGCTTCAGTATTTAAAATAAATGGTTATTTTTGCTATTTGATGAAAAAATTATCAGAATCTGAATTCTGTCTTTTATCAAAAAACAAAAATTAATCAGTGATCCACATATTCCTGTGACACTGGCACCAAATGTTTTGGTCCAAATCCATGGCCCCTTACAATGAATGATCTGTTTATATTAACCACTTAAGTTAGCAGGTTCTACTATTTCATCCTGTTATATTTTATTTGAGTGTTCTATTATCCAGACAGAGCTTTCAAGTACTTTTGGAAATAGACTGGAAAAGCTCTTTAAATGAGAATCCCTAAGTGGTAAGTGAGCTCAATCAAACAAAATATCATCGAAATGATATTCTCTTAAGTAGAATAGCGGCTTTGTGAAGTGGTTGCCTAACAATATAGCATTATCTCCAATTAGAAAAAGACAGACTCAGCTACTGATAATCAGTGTGAATTGAGGAAATTTCTGGGGTTTGAGACAAGACCTAGCATTCTATATGTCTGACTACCAGATACTTCTCTACATAGAAGGAAATGAAAAAGTCCCAACTCCTGTGTAAAGTTAGGCTGATTTAGGGAATTGTGGGTAATAAGGGACCTTCAGTGCCCAGATCCTCCTGCTGTCCAGTACACACAGCCATGACTCTTTAATTTCCCCACTGACTGCCTTAGTGTAATATATCTTATCAAACAACACACACTATGACATGAGCAGCTATGGTTCATTTTTCAAGACAATTACTGAGCTTTTCATGTTCCAGAATAAGCAATGGTTTTGTGAAATCCTCCAACTATTAATAAAACTCATTTCTTACCCTTTGTTCTTCACACAGGCATTTTTCAAGTGAACATAGCTAGAAGGAAATATACCCTGGAAGAGAAAACATGAAGGTTACGATGCCAACTATTAAAGGGGGGACAGGTTTTACAAGCCAAGTGTATAAAACGTAGTAACACAACTATACTACTACCAGAAATTGGGAAAAGCAACATTTCTACCACATTTATTACACGAAAATCTACTGTAGCTTAGATCCAGTCCTTTCATTTTCCTCTTTACAATTTTTAAATTTGGAGATACTTTAAAATAAATAGAATAAAAAAATAAATCTCATTCCAGAATACATTTTTTATAAAATAGGAAATCAAATAAATTAAGGAATTGTGCACAGAATGCAATTTTTTTATATTACACATTTTGAAAGAGGGTTACTTTTCTGTTGGTTTTTTGTTTGTTTGGTTGGTTGGTCAGTTGGTTGACTGGGTTGTTCTTTCTTTTCTTCTCTCCAAAACACTCATGTGTCTATTTTAAAATTTATATTCAAGAAATACCACTGTGAATTTCAAGACAGTATACATACTATGTGTTATAGAAGATCTCTGATGAAAATAGTGTAGCCATTAATCACCAGGCTGCCATTCTGATAGAACAAAAATTAAACAAAAGAAGCATTGCTAACAGAAAGCTCTTTATTGCAAAGACAGGACAAGGAAATTGTTTCTTTGTTCTAAATGGGAAATTTAGAGATAAAAACCATTTAAAAAATTAGCATCAACTTTATTGCAATTAAATGACATTATCCTCCGAGAGTTTTGATGTAGAATTAAATGACTAATTCAATTAAATATTTAGGAAAACAAATGTGATTTGAATACATTATCACCACTCTAGGTATAAGGATAACATAATACCTAGTAAGCAAATTTGTATATACAATAATGGTAAGTAGATAAAAAAAAAAACTCTTGCATTTTCTTCAAACTTTAAATTTACCTCAATACGATAAGAATAACAAGTAGAGTTATTATAACTAATACAGAAAAGTCAGAAATTGAAGTTAGAAGAGTGACAGAAGCAACAGAAATCCTAGTAGATTTTTTTCTTAAACAAGATCTAAATGAATTAAATATTGAAGTTATATCTGAATGTGCTTTGCAGATATCCAAAAATAACTTTAAATGAAGTCTAAAGAATTAAAAACATTAAGTTTGTATACTTTTTTTGTCCCTAAGCTCTCCTTTAGAATGACCTCAAATAAATGAAGTGATTAAACAAATAGGATGACCCAAAGGATATTTAAGTAGAAAGACAGGCAAGAGAGTTTAATTTCTTATATCTTGAGAATGAGAAATTATATAATTTTTATCTACAATCCTAATGAAGCCAGAATTAACAAAAAAACTGAATATGACACATAAGAAGATATTAGAAAATATAGGAAATAAGGGTCAAAGCTGAGGAAATTGGAAGAAAGTAAAGAAGCCAAGATATTGGTAAGGGGCCTCCCTGGTGGCGCAGCGGTTGAGGGCTGGGTTGCGAAGCTGCCCACAGCCTCTGCAGCGCCGGTTCGATCCCCGGCTGCTCCCCGGCCACCAGAGGAGGGTCCCACTTGGTGCGCAGACCTCTCCTGCCGCCCGCTGCTCCCCTCAGCAGTGTACTTCGGTCCTTCTGCCTGCTCTGCTCCCTGCTCTGGCTCTGGTGAATTCTCTCACCCTCCCGCGCTTCTGACTGTACCCAGTGCTTGTATGTATAAATAAAATAAATAAATCTTTAAAAAAAAAAAAAAAAAAAAAGATATTGGTAAGGCTTAGTGTCAAAATAATACACAAATAAAAGATAAAACAAAATCATATTACTTTCAGCTGTAATTCCTAAGGATTTATATAAATATATATAGGGTAATGAGTCATATTAATTTCTGTCTAGAATGATAAGATGGGTTCTTTATAATATGGGATTGCCATGTTTCAGCTTCCTAAACCCAAAAGGAATCTTAACATCCTACAATAAGCTCCTTTTTCCACACTAAAATTTTATAAATGATACCACAGAAAACTTAAAGATTAAATACCTCTATTCAGTGTGTCTTTTGAAATGTATATTACCACTTCCTCAATTTTAATTTTGACTCAGTGAAAGTAACACTTCAAAAAGAATTTGTTTATATATAGTGAACTTACTAAGGTCTTTCAGCACAAATTTCAAGAGCTACATAAGATTATCATTTGAGTAGCATTTCTTAACCATAATCCAAGTTCAAAGGGATTCCCAGTTATGAAAATACTGAATTGCCATTTGGCATTTCAGTTGAGTTCCAACTGTATTTTCAATTGTAGAAGAAACAAACCAAAGTACTGTCTTTTTAAAAAAAAATCCCATAATTATAATTAATAGCAAAAATTTTTTACCTTGATATTTGGGTTTTTTAAGGCAAATCCTCTGTACCAGCCTGTGGAGAAATAATCATGGTCATATTTCAATAAACCATACACAGTTTTAAAGAAAATAAGTTATTAAAAATCAATGTCCTTTCCTGATAGAATTTCATCCTATTGTACATGTATATATTATATATATAAATAAGATAGGGTTTAAGATTAGTAGGAGTATAGTTCAAATGACTGCTACAAGCTTAAGTATTCTACTAATAAAACTGTTTAACTATTACACTGGAAATTTATATGTAAAAAACAGAAACATGCACAATAGAAGTAGAAGCTTTGGAACCAGAGCATTGGGTTTATTCTAACTTTGCTACCTATTAGCTATTTAATCTTGGGCAACTTAATTGACTTCTCTGAACACAATTTCTGGCCATTTTACAATGGAGAGACTGAGACTACACTAAGTTTCAGGAAATTCAAGAATCTGCGCAAGATTCAATTTATTTCAAATTCTCATTGCTTGACTACAAAGTCAGGTTGTAACACCTCAGCCAGGATTATGCAGTGAAAGAATCCTCACATCCTGCAATCTACTGTCTTGGGTTAGATAGCTTTACAGTCTGATAGCTTTACAAGACTGAAGCGAAATCTCATCCACTAAGAGAATGACTATGAGTACTCTTCCATCAGCAGGTCCTACCAGGAGCTCACTCTAATTGCTATTTTGTAGAATGCCTTTTACTTAACTTCTGAGCAACTCTGAATCAATTTGACAGCATTATGTTTAAGGGAAAATATATCTTTTTATAGTTTAATATAAGTACAGGGATATACAAACATATACATCCTCCTGTAAATGTATTATTTTCAACTCAGAATTTACTCAACTATGTAAAATATTTTTCTTATTGGGAAGAAATTATTTTACTATGTAACAAATATTCTACCCAATTGAATTTTTAAAAAGAAATACTGAGTTTGTATTTAAATATTTTTATTTCTTAAAAAGGAAATATTGTATAAAATATAATGCCTACCAGTTTTAAAATCAGTCTGAAGAGAGTGAAATGAATTGAGAATGAGAATTTCTATATCTCTGGATTTGTAAGATTCCTTAAAAACATATCCATGAAATATATGCAGTCTTAAATGGTTCTTCTAACAAAAATCAAAACCTTTTGAAAACTGCAGAAAGGTTGTAGAGAAGTCTCTAATTCCATGATACAGAAAGTCTTTTAGATTACAAAACAGCTCCTGTTAGCAATGGAGCCCATTTTCATAAACCAATTAAAAACAGATTTTTATATTCATCTGTACACAAAGTAGAAATAGGCAAAAATCATCGGCAATGACAGAAAATCTTGTGTTTTTTAAAAATATATTAATTACAGTAGACAGAAGTGTTTGTGTGTCACCAACATTTAATATCAGGCTTGAACTAAATGTAATATCTCTAGGGGAACACAGTTTGATAATGAACTTTGACATGATAGAATGTTATATCAGTTCCTAATAAGTACAACATTTAGGAGGAAATGGATGTTTTTGTACATACTGATAGTGCTCTAAAATGTGGTTATTTTGTTAACAATAATCATAAAAGTGGCAGTGATTTCATCTGGGATCTTTTTAAGGAATAGAGTTTAAGGATGTTTTGTGGAGAATACAAACATTTGAGAGCTTATTAGGTAATTTGATTTTATGAGTTACCTGCTACATAAAGAACAGTCACACAGTTCATATATTATACTAACATTGCACATGCACTAAATAATTTCAGTTCAATTTGGGGTGGCTGGGTATGGGAGATGGATGTAGGACTTGAGCAAACTATGTCTGGGCAGATGATTTCCCCCAAAATATCTAGTTCCCCAACCTTGGAGAAGTCATTTCTTCTCTGGATCTCTGCCCCGAGGGATCTACCAGACTCTTCAGATTCTCAGAAAAGCCTTCTAACTTGGCATTGAGTTATGAACTCTCACAAATATAGTAACTTCAGTTGTTTTTATGTTCACATTAGTGAATGCATAAAGAATAATTGTAGAAAAAAATACCATCACCAGCATAAAAATACCAAATGATGCATTCCAATAAGCCAAACACGAAATATGCATAAAACAAGTTTCATCAAAAATGATTCACTCTGACTACTAGAAAAATTCCAGAAATTAATCAGGTATGGGCAGAATCTGTAAACTTTATGAACTGCCCAATGTTGAGGAGGTTGTTCACAGAACCTTAAGCAATCACCACTAGCCCACTTACCATCACATTTCTCCAGGATCTGAACTGTATCTCCAATTTCCAATGACAGACCATAAGGAATGGTTCCTCGAAAACTGGCAATCACTGTAAGAAATAGTAAAGGATACATGAAGATAGTTTTCCAATAAGTTATAGCCAGTTAGTTATACTGCTTACTACTAAATGTTATCAACTAGGAAAAGTGAATGTGACTAGTAAGCACACTTTGATAGCTAGAATCTATTACCACGTTTTAATTTTACATGTGTTTGAAGACTGTCGATCTTTAAGTTTATATACTTTCCAACTTTCTGGTACAAAAAGCATTAGAGGGCATCACTGGTGGCACAAGGGGTTACGTGTCAGAGCTATGAAGCTATCCACAGCCACTGCAGCACTTCAGAGTTGGATCCGCGGCCAGGGAGGTGACCCACATGGCACAGCAGACCTCTCCTGTTTCACCTGCTGCTCCCCTCATCAGCTTATTTAAGTCAATCTGCTTGTTCTGCTCCCCACTCTGTTTCTGGTGAATCCTCTCACCCATCCCCCCACACCTCTGGCCTGCACCCCAGCTCTTGTATGCATAAATAAATAAATCTTTTTTTAAAAGGCATTAGAAATATAAATGTCAGAGATGTGGAATCTACTAAAATAATATGCAAAATATCAAGAATATTTTTCAATATCAGGTGTAAACAAAAGTAGAGTCTTAATAACTCCCTAAGAAGCCATACCCCACTTATTTGCTGCAATAGTCACTCTCCATCCAGTACACAACCCATAGTAGTTACTCAATATATAGCTGTTCAATAATAAATGGGGAATATATTTCTTACTTGTTTTTGAGCTTGGTAAACCTTTCTGTTATATTGCTTAAAGGAAGCTGCTTTTCCCTAGGCTGCATCTATTTGCTGACTACTATGTCCCCAAGGCTAGCCAAGAGCGTGACATAAAAGCAATCTTCTTGTGTAGTAATCAATGCTGACATTTTATTTAATAATGACTGTACCCTTTCCCTAGGACCAAACACACAACCTCCACGACCATTCCCACAAGTCTTAGTTCAGTGCCATTTGGAATGGGGGAGGGAAGGGGCCACTATTTAGTCCTACCTAATGGTTATAGAGGGATTGCTTTTTGGGAACAATTTGTAGGACTGGGAAGAATCAGGATGTAATACTAAAGAGAAAGGGTGCATTCCTGGGCAACTCAAGGAGTTATAGAGAAAATGAAGTACAGTGATTATTCTCAGGATAATAATGCTTGGGTCATAAAGGAGACAAGCAAGGAGAAATAACAAAAATGTATACTTTAACACACAAAAAGAGAAGAGACACATCCTGTTAATAGGTGGTATGCTGAAATCAACTTGCAATTCATATCAAAAGATAATGATAGCAAATGCTTTAATGTGCCATTTTTACAAACTAAAATGTTGGAAGTGAATTTTATAATTTGGCCTCAGATAGAGAGGTTTAGATACAACCCCAAGCTACTGTTGTGAATGTATTGCATAAGCCAGAAGCAACACTTGAATCTGTCAAAAATCATAACATGCCAATAAGTAATGGGCTTTTAGAGAAGTCAAAAGCCCTTTTATGACCTCAAAACAAAATTAACAAGAGATCAAAACACAAGACAAAAAACATAACCCAAAGTACATGAGATGGATGAAAAGAAGTGCAGAGTAACCAAGTTAGAACATTTTAGATAAGCACTAATTCATGATGTCATTTCTAACTACAACCATAAATACCACATGGCCTCTTATTCATATGCTAGAAAATGTTTGCTTAGAAAACAAGCAAGGGTCTGTGTATCTTGACAGGTTCCTTCCCATTATTTTCAAAGACCCATTCTAACAAGGGGTGAACATCACAACAACAATAGATTGATCACAATTTTAAAAACTCCAAAACAAGTTGCCCCCAGAGTTGTCTTTCTGTACTCACGGATTTGCCTCACACACCCTGGCAGTTCAACTGGATGCCAAGTACCCTTCACTTAGAGGTCTAAGAGCTTGAGCTTGCTGGCATAGCACTTACCGCTCACAAATGCCCTAATTTTAACTCCCAGGGTTGCCATAAACACCAACCCACTGCTGGCTGCTTTCTCCTACTCCTCTTCCCCTTCTTGAACACAGTGGTATAATTCATGGATTTCATCTCTGTTCATGCTTCAGTGCACACCACCTGCACAACCCCTCCACTGCAGCCTCCAGTCCCTGTACTGTGTCTGCATTCATATCACCTTCAGGAGTCTGACTTCTGAATCTTCTACTGCCTCACTCATACTCTCTAGTCTTCTGTAGATCTTTCTCAGCCCCCTTAAATATTGCTGTCATCTACATTCTGCCCTCAAAAAGCTAAAGGCTGAGGTGTACAAAAATAACATGAAACTTGACATCAAGAAATATGAGTATGACCCCAGATCTTACTGTTTATTAGCTGTGTGACATTGGTCAAGACACCTACCACTAAGAACTTCCATGACCTCATCAGGCAAATGAGGATAACAATAAAGGAATCATAAAATGTAATGGAAGATTAATTAAGGCACCTTAGAAATAATTTACCATATGTTTGGCATATTTTAGCCACTTAATAAATACCTCAATTGTTTAAACTGCACTTTTGTTCTTCTATCCATATGTTTTCATCTATTCATTGAGAGTTCTAAGGCTTCTGGAATCACCTGGTGACACAAGACTTGTCAAGATTTTCCCAGTTCTGATCTATGCTTTGAATATCTGATAGAACCTTCCAACTTGTATATATCTATCTAGATGTCAAAACACCTAAAACTTAGCCATCTCCTAATAAAATTTAAGCTATTTTTTCTCTCCCCATCATCACCTCTAAAATGTTAGTCTAACTAATTAGTCTTCTGCTATTAGTCCTGCTTTGTTCTGCTATTCTTAGGTGGATTTCTGCACATTCCTACACAGGACCACCCCAAAGCCAGGTACATATCCATGATGTCCTTCCTCAAACACTGTTCACAAGTTATCTTTGACTTTGTTACATTTGTGATTAAGGTTATAGTTTTCTTTCTATGTGCATGACATCAGAAAAAAATCCTTAGTCTTAAAGTATTTAGTATTTCATTCATTTAAAGAAAAAGTCATTAAATACGTGCAATATAGAACAAAAGATTAACAAGGTTATTTTCTTCTTATTTTGTGCTACTGTGTAGCTCATATAATCCTTAGGTATGCCCAAATCAACACCTACCATTACCCCAGGCTTGTAATTATCATTTTCCTGGCTTCATTAGAAGTCTCCCACTGGGTCTATGCTCAATATTCAAATTCTGCTGTAATTCATTTCACATCAGTTTAAGAGATCTTCCCAAAGTACACATCCCTTGATGACATCCTTATATTAAATATCAGACCTGAAAATATATGAATCAGTGCTACAGCCTATAAGGTCTTGCTTTTTCTCTAGTTTCATCCTACACTTCTCAACCTTGACTTCCTGTGCTCCATACATAAAGACTATCTGTCAGCATCTTTCTTGATATATTCCCTCCCACACAAGACTTTTGCATGATAGACCCCTTACAAGAAATATCTTCCTTTTGCTCTTTCCCAAATTATATTACATTCACCCTACAGATATGGGTTCAGTGGTCACTTCTTAGGACAGTCTTGTCTGATGTACCTCTATCACCCCAACTACATGCACTCATTGCAACATACAACATTTCAGCAACTTCCATTATTTGTACAAGTTTTTGTATAATGTCTCCTACAATAGACTATAAGTTGCATGAATGTAAGGACTGTGTTGTTTTTAGCTGACAGCTGTGTTCCCAATACAGTATGGAGCCTGGCATACAATCTGAGCTCAGTAAATAATCCCTAGGGAATGAGTGAAAACAGGGCCATTACTACTAAGTGATCTGGTCTTAAATAGGTTCCTCTATTACTGGCAATACTATTTTAAGCATCTGCTCAAAATTCTAAGAACCAACTATGTTATCCATGAAAACTTATTCTTTCATAGAAGCTGTTAAAAACTGTAATGATAGTTTTTCTGAGTCATAACTATGTGTCAACTCATTTCTTACCTAAGCAGTCCATGTAGGTGAATTACAATTTTACTCTTTAGAAATATATTTGATAATTATTAAGTGTAAACTATAATATTAAGCCCTTCAATTTCACTGGGCTTTGGATGCCTTCTCTGTAAAACAAATAAGCTACACAAGGTGAACTAAAAGCACCCTCCTAGCCTGTGATTCTAAGTCTAGAAGAATTTTCAGTTCAGCATGACACAGCATAATACACATTGAAGAACTCAGCTCCTGAACCAGCTTTGCTTTGGTTTCAGTCACTGCCTGAATTCTGAAAGAATGGGTATCTGTTCCCAGCTGCAAAAGCCAGCTGATATCACAGTAGGGAAAGCCTGCTCTCAGCTTCTTATATGAGGCCCTTTACAGCTAGTCCCTGCCACCTTTCCATGCTCACACCCACATACCACTCCACATACTGCCCTCTGCTCAGTCATGACCAAGTTCTCATCAAGTGCTTTCATGTAGGCCTCAGTGCCATCACACATATTATTACCTTTGTGGGGTGCTGCCTTTGCTATCTTCTTTATACTGGAAACTGCAAAGTACCCTTAGTTTAAAGCCTAGCTCAAGGTTAGTATTGTTGATTTTCAGGTGCTCTCCTGCTGATTATCTTTCTCTTCCCGAGCTTTGGACCCAAATGGAATCAATTACTCTCTCTGTGCCCAAGGGTAGTCTGACCAGACCTTAAAGGGAAGGTATTATGTAATATTATAATGACACTTTATTTATCTGTACCTTGACACTGAGAACATGAACTATTTGTATTTATCTTTAAGACCAAGCATATGGATAACTGAATACATGAATGGAGAATGAACAAATACATGAAATGAATGAATGAAGTCACTGAAAAAAATGGCAACCAGGTTTTAACAGATTTGGAGAATGTCAGGGCCACCCAAAACACCTAAAGATATGTTTGAAATTGCAACTCATACTAGTGAGTAACATTTTTCAGGATATATTGTTCAAGATCATTTTGACCTTTATCTTCTAAAATGGCAAGCCATTTTAAACTTGTGAGT